GGTTGTTTCCAACTCCTTGCTATTGTAAACAAAGCCACAATAAACATGGGTATGCATATATCTACTTGGGTGCCATTTATGGTCTCTTTAGGGTATATTCCCAGTAGTGGAATTACTGGGTCAAATGGTATCTCTATTTGCAACTTTTTGAGAAAGCGCCACATCGCTTTCCACAGTGGTTTCACCATTTTACACTCCTACCAACAGTGAATAAGGGTTCCAGTCTCTCCACAACCTCGCCAGTATTTATTGCTTGCTGTTCTGTTAAATTTTGCTGGTCTTACTGGGGTGAGATGATACCTCATAGTTGTCTTGATTTGCATCTCTCTCAGAGCTAGGGATTTTGAACATTTCTTCATGTGCTTGTTGGCCATTTGAATGTCTTCCTTGGTGAACTGTCCATTATTTGTTAATGGACATTTGGGTTGCTTCCATCTCTTTGCTGTTGTGAATAACACAGCAATAAGCGTGAGTGTGCATACATCTGTTTGAGTTGTAGCTCTGATATTTTTAGGATATATTGCCAATTTTGGAGTTAATGGATTAAATGCTTTTTCTGTTTCCTACTTTTAGAGAAAGCACCAGACTGTCTTCCATATGGTTGTACCATTTCACATTCCTATCAGCAGTGAATAAAAGTTTCATTCTGTTCACAGTGCTTGCCAGCATTTGTTGTTTTTGTTGTTTGCTGCCCTGTTGAACTTTACTATTGTTGTTGGGGTGAGAACTAATTTTAAAATAAACTTACATTGACCTTTCATCCATATTTCCTTTCAAGGAGGGAGATCCATCCTTTTGAGGATGTAACTTTCTAATCTATCTTAAAATAAACTTAAATCTTTATAATTAGGAGATGGTTCTTTTTCAGAGTTTCAGAATTGCTTTTTCAGATTACTGTATTTTATTCATTATTGTTGTTGTTGATTGCCATTGAGTCAAGCACAACTCCTAGCGACCCTGTGAACAAAAGCCTGAAGCCTTTCTATAACTATCGAGATTTATCAAAGTTCATACAGTTTCCAGAGGCATGTTATTTAGGAAGTGGATGCCATTCCTGCCTCCAAACCTATCTTAAACTGGGAGCTCCACCAAACACTGTCCACTGTGGGTAACTCTTCTGGTATTTAATACCCCAGTGGCATAAGGTTCAGCATCACAGCAACCCCATGTTACCTCAGTACAGCATATTTTTTTAAAATTCTAAATAGTATTTTTTTTAATTTAAAAAGAGAAATCATGTAACTGAGTTTTTATTGACAGTATATCTCCTTTTTCTGAATTCAACTGCCTTTTTATTATTGCGTTTCATCTCTTCTATAATTCTCTCTGCTATTTATTTTCTTTTTTTGTTATTGTTGATTTTTTGTTTTGTTTATTTAAATTTATTATTAATTTCAGTAAAAATTTACAGAGACTTTAGCTTTCCATTCATTCATTGTTGCACTATTTTCCCCATCCAGCCCTCCCCTCTCGTACATTACCCTTTTGGAAAAGTAAAAGAAAAATTATTTCACTGTTTTACAAAACTTCCCCCAGGTCCACTCCACCATGTAGCCTTCACTCTAGACTCCTATCATGATGAAAATACCTAATCACATCCCTTTTAAACAGTTTTCTCCCTTATCTGTTTCAATGCAGTATACATTATTGAACCCATCTTTGTCAGTCTCTCCCCGACCCCAGGGTCAGTCCTGTGGCACCATGCAGTATTTGTCCTTTTGTGACTGAGTTATTCAGCATAATGTCCTCCAGAGTCACCCTTTTGAATAATATTGCATGAGTTCCTTGTTTTTCAGTGCAGCTTAGCATTCCATTGTGTGAATATACCAGAGCTTCTCTATCCATTCAAATGTTGTTGTACACTTAGGTTGTTTCCAAGTCTTTGCTATTGTAAACAAAGCCACAGTAAACATGGGTGTGCATATATTTGTTTGGATGTCAGTTATGATCTCTTTGGGATATATTCCCAGTAGAGTAGTGGAATTGCTGGGTCAAATGGTATCTCTATTTGCAACTTTTTGAGAAAGCACCATACCGCCTACCACAGGGGTTGCACCATTTTACACTCCCACCAACAGTGAATAAAGGTTCCAGTCTCTCCACAACCTCGCCAGCATTTGTTGCTTGCTGTTCTGTTAAATCTCATAGTTGTTTTGATTTGCATCTCTCTTAGAGCTAGGGATTTTGAACATTTCTTCATGTGCTTGTTAGCCATCTGAATGTCTTCTTTGGTGAAGTGTCTGTTCATGTCCTGTGCCCATTTTTCTATTGGATTATTTACCTTTATCATGTTGTGGTACTCAGGTATTTTATAAATTCTGGATATAAGTCTGATATGTCATTACCAAATAAATACTTTTTCCCAGTCAGTGTTTTCACTTTTTACCCTGTTGGAGAAGTTTGTGGATGTGCAGCAGTACAGCATATTGACAGAAGAGTTCTTTATCACTTAGAAGAATGTTCCCCCCAAATAGTTACTATTTTGATAACTTCATTTATATTTGATTTCTTAATAGAGTAAAGACAAGATTGCATCCTATAGCAAAACACCAAAAATTGATCGAGGTGATGTGGTCAAGGAAATGAAGGAGAAATCATCTATGAAACGTAAGCTGCCTTTTACCATTAGTCCATCAAGAAATGAAGAACGAGATTCAGACACAGGTAGAATAATTACTATATTTCTTGTAAAATCTGTATTGTCCTGTGCTAAGTTTTTTCTTTCACATGCACCTTTGGGGAAATATTTGTATTTTAATTTAATTTCTAATTTACCCTATTAAGGCAAAAAAATAAATATTTTACCCAAATATTATTTTTATCACAGATAAGAATAAGAATAGTTTTTTTTACTTTTCTTAGTATTTATTACAAATATTTTATTACTTTTCTACTTAATTTTAGGAAGAGAATTTAATTTAGTGATAGTGGCAGATTTGTATATATTAGATTTTGAGAAGGAGCTCTTGCGTTTTTGTAGATAAAAGAAACTGAGACATTTTCCATTCAGAAACGAGTTAAAAATCTATGATTCACACTGACTTCTAAAGCCCGAGTCAGTATTTTGTTTCTTAAAACTCATATATATTAGGAATTGATCACTAATCCAAGAGTATTAGACTCTTATCACCACTGTACAATAAAGTTTTGATAATTTGCTTTTACCCTAAAGTAATTATCGATTGAAATTAGTATAAACTAAAATGTTTGTTGTTTGTGGGGTTGTGCATTTCTTATAGTTGTTTTATCCTGTGCATTAAATATTAATGGCAAACTGTTCATAAATATGTTTTAGCTTAACAACCATATATCTAGGATTAATTTAAAATCCAGCACATAGAAAGAACTTCTATAATTTAACAGCGAAAAGAAATTACATTCTTTATATAGTTCAAGTTGTAATTTTTTTCTATTGAGATAATTTTTTTCCCCTTCATGAAGCATGAGTATTCTTAAGTAATCTTAAATTTTCAGAAATATCCCTTAGCTGGGGAGAAGTCCCTTGTATTTAAGTATCTATTGAAGATTTAACCCTTCTCATATTTTCTCTGGAAATCATTTGCTAGTCATATTTAATTTCTCATATTATCCAAGTTTTGTTTTTCATTAACAGGAGTGAAAGAGATTTGATAAATTCAGAGAAATTTAACATTTTAAGAGTAAGTGAAGTTTTGAAAGGTTAGAGACTATTACTAGAGCAGATGGATTATTTTTCTTTTATTTAGAGTAAAATGTTGTTGTGTATTGTCATGTCAGAACCAATGCATAGCTGATTCTCTAGTGGATTTTCAGAGGCAGAAAATTTCATGGGAGTAGACTGCCTGTCTTTCCAGTAAATTGCAGAAGAGGTCTCCCTTTGAGCCACTGGTGGATTCAAACCTCCAGATAAACATCGCCTTTAGATTAGCAGTATAACTCCCTACAAACTACAACTCCCTACCAGACCCAGTCCAAAATGAGTCATAGTAAACTAGAAAAGCATGAGTATTAGGTTTCCAAGTCTGCTGTTGACTTGGGAGGCTCCTGTGGAGTGGTTCCACTCTGGAAGTTTCTTTCTCACGTCTTGATGAGGGTCACGTAAGGAACATTTTGGTCTGTGTTATTGGGTTTTTTCCCCTCCACAAGTGGGTGTCAACTGACTGGGCTTTTGCCTGTCCATCAAGGACCCAAGGGCAAAGGGTCTACTCAGTTTATTATAGTCAAGAACATTTGTTGGGTGTGCTTGTCTTTAAAATTCCATAGTGCTGGGCTAAGCCTGCTGCTGGCTTGAGAGGCTTTAAAAGTCCATATTAAAATGAATTAATTTTGGGATGAACATTCTTTAAGTGGTACAGCAGTCATCTGTGCATTTGCTATACTGAAGTAGCTGGGAGTTGCTGTGATTCTTACCACTCTGTCATAGTTGTGTGAAGTACCATATTATTTACCTATCATAGACAGGGTTTAGAGAAGCTTCTGGATTGATTCTGTTTTGGAAGCAGGAGTGGCATCCACTTCCTAAACCAGATGCCTCTGGAAACTCTATGAACATAGAGAAATGATGTTAGTTTTAGAGCAGGGTTCATGTCTTTTGTTCATAGGGTCTCTATGAGTTGTATTCAGCTTGATAGCACTTAACCACTGCTAAGTGAGACTAGTGTTGTTATATTTTGGAGGAACATTCTTCTGAGTTATACATCACTCTTCTGTCAATTTGCTGTACTGGCGTAATCTGGGTTTGCTGTGATGCTGAACCTTTTGCTATTGGGGTGTCAAATGCCAAAACGGTTTCTCAAGGTGGGCAGTGTTTGGTGGAATTCCCAGTTTAAAACAGGTTTGGAAGCAGGGATGGCATCCACTTCCTAAAAGACATGCCTATGAAAACTATGAACTTGGAGAAATGACGATGGTTATAGAAAGGCTTCAGGTCTTTTGTCACTATGAGTCATTCTTGACTCAATGGCAATGAACAACAGCAACAACAATTAGGTATCCAATCAATGTAGTCTGTATGTATTAGTTGGATTATCTCCCCCCATTATAATTTCTCATTGTTTATTTATCTAGTAAGATGATCATCTCATTAGTTCTCATCTCTAGTAAGATGATGGATGATGTAGCTACCTCTAAGTTTGCTTCATCCACATTTCTTTTCTTCTTTTAGAGCTAATATGTACCAATCACAATGTAAGACATTTATGGAGTTAAAATATATATTTATATTTATGTTTATATTTATATTTTTGTAGATAACGAAGACTGGTTTTACATCACACACACCCCCAGCACATTAAAAAGAGCTTTGCTATCCCTAAGCCAAAATGATTTGTTTACTGTCCAGTTCCCTTATTTTAATTCTTACCATTTTAAGAATGACTATATTTCAATTCTTAAAATTTTAAGCTAAAGAATTAAAAGGGACCAACACACCTAACATTTCAACTGAAAAGAATTGAAGAAGACATTCAACCCTCAAATGGCAATAGTAATAGATTCTGTGGGCAAAATCTTGAACGACACAGGAAGTAATAAAAGAGAGAAGGAAGGAATACAGAAAAATCACTGTACTAAGAAGAATTGGTTGGTACTGAAACATTTCAGAAAACAGCATATTAGCAACAACCAACAGTAATGAAAGAAGTTCAAGCTGCATTGAAGACAGTGGCATAAAATAAGGCCCAAGGAATGAATGGAGTACCAAATGACTTATTTCAACAGATGTAACTGTGGATGTACTCACCAAGCTGTACCAAGCCAAGAAATTTGGAAGACAGCTATCTGGCCACCTAAGTGAAAGAAATCTATATTTGTTCCCGGTTAAAAAAAAAATGCCATGTAACATACTGTACATTTGCTGAACAATATCATTAATATCACATGTAAATAAAATCTTGCTGAACATTATTGAACAGAGAACACCCAGGAATCAAGCTGGATTCAGATGAGGCTGTGACAAGTGTGATTATCACTGCTTATTTCAGATGAATCTTGACCGAAAGCAGAGAATACCAGAAAGGTACTTTGTTTTGTTGACTTTGCAAAGATATTTGATTGTATGGATCATACTAAATTATAGCTAGCATTGAGAAGAATGAGAATCCCAGACCAAAGAATCCCTTGTCCAAAACAGAAGATGGGAACACTGCATAGTTTCAAGAAAGCTATGTGTCAGGATTGTATCCTTTCTCCATTTCTATTGAATCTGTCAGCTGAGCAGATCAAGAAACTGAGCTATATGAAGAAGAATGTGGTGTCATGATTGAGGAAAGACTAATCAACAGCCTGCATTAGGTAGCTGACACAATCTTGCTTACAGAAAATGAATGAGATTTGAAGCATATGTTGCTTACGATTGAAGAACACCATCAAGAACACCAAAAAACTGGTCACCACTCAATTAGTAGGTAACATCATGACAGATGAAAAAAAAAATTGAAGTTGTCAGTGGTTTAATTTTACTTGGATACACAGTCAACACACATGCCAGATCACGACATCATTCATCTAGTTTCTTATAGTAAGGGGTTATGCTGCCAACTCAAAGGTGTTGTTGTTGTTGTTATGTGCCGTCGAGTCGTTTCCGACTCATAGCGACCCTATGCACAACAGCCCTAAACCCTGCTCTGTCCTGCGCCAAACGCACCGCCTCTGACACACCCATCCCGATTACCCCAGTCACCGAATCAATCCATCTCATAGAGGGTCTTCCCCTCCTGCGTTGTCCCTCAACCCTCCCAAGCCTGATGTCCCTCTCCAAGGACCCGTCCCTCCTGGCAACATGTCCAAAGTATGTCAGATGAAGCCCCAGAATCCTTGCCTCCAGGGAGTATCTTGGTTTAATCCTCTCCAAGATGAATCTGTTTTCCTGGCAGTCCAGGGTACATTCAGTACCCTTCTCCAGCACCACAACTCAAAAGCATCTACTCTCCTTCTGTCCTCCCTAGTCGTTGTCCAACTCTCTCATGCACAACAAGCGATTGCAAATACCATGGCCTGTATCAGGCGCACCTTAGTCTCCAGAGAGACACTGTTGCTCCTGAGTACTTTAGAGAGGTCCCTAACAGCAGACTTTCCCATCGCGATACGCTTTTTGATTTCCTGACTGCTGGTGCCAAGAGTGTTGACTGTGGAGCCGAGCAAACTGAAGCTGTGAACTCAAAGGTACACAGTTCAAATCCACTAGGTTGTCCATGGAAGAAAGATGAGAAGTCTGTTCATGTACAGTTTCTTGAGAAAACTCACTGTTGGTTCAGCTATGAATCAGTTCCAATCATAGTACTTTCCAACAATATAAATATGAAAAGAAAAAATAGGCTAGTGGGTGAAAGGTAGAAGCAAGTATCTCAGAACAACAGAATTCTATTTGAAAAAAAAAAAGATGGAAAAAAATGTATATAATAATAAGAAAATGAGAACAATTTTTGCCTATAGATGTGACAGAACTGTTGTTAATGTAAATCCTATCCAGTAACCAGCAACAAGTTGGAAATGGGAATTTTTTTAGTTTAAGAATATCTTGTTGAAAGTTAGTAAGACAACTTTTATAAATAAAGGTAAAAATACTTCCTGACAATTAACTATGTAATCTGTTTTTGTTTTCATTCTATGTAAGTAGTTATTGAAAAGAGCAAAAATTTACCTTGAAGACTCTTACCTCAACTATTTATATAATGGACACTAAATGA